CGTCGTCATTCGTCGTCGTCGTCGTCATCCAACGTCGTCGTCGTCGTCCGTCGACGAAGTCGTAGTTGTAGTCGCCGTCGACGTAGTCGTAGTCATGGATCGTCGTTGTCGTCGTCGTCATCGTCGGTCGTCGTCGTCATCGCCGTCTTCGTCGTCGTCATCGTCCGACACCGTCGCCGTCGTCGTTCGTCGTCGTCGTAGGCGTCGTCATCGTCGTCATCGTCGTCGTCGTCCGTCGTCCGTTGTCCGTCGTCCGTCGTCATCGTCGTCTTCCTCGTCGTCTTTCTCGTCGTCGTCGTCGTCATTCGTCGTCGTCGTCGTCGCCGTCCGTCGTCGTCGTCGTCGCCGTCCGTCGTCGTCGTTGTCGTCGTCGTCCTCGTCCGTCGTCCGCCGTGCGTCGTCCGTCGCCCGTCGTCCGTCGTCCGTCGTCCGTCGTCCGTCGTCCGTCGTCCGTCATCGTCGTCCGTCGTCCGTCGTCGTCGTCGTCGTCGTCGTCGTCGTCGTCGTCGTCGTCCGTCGTCGTTGTCGTCGTTGTCAACCATCGTCGTCGTCGTCGTCGCCGTGGCGGCCGTCGTCAGCAGCGGGGCGCTCAGGAGGTGCGATTTGCCCCTGGCGCGCCTGGTCAAGGTCCCGGCGCGGCTCGGGCGAGGCGCGCCTGGTCGAGGCTGGGGGGGGGGGCCCCAGGCCGTCGAGTCCGTCGCAGTCCGCCGAGTTGCGAACCTTGGCCTGCCGCGGGCAAACTGGGGGGGAGTCGGCGGCGTCAGCACGACGACGACGACAGACGACGCTAGACGCCCGACGACGCCCGACGACGCCGGACGCCCGACGACGACGACGACGACGACGACGAACGACGACAGCGACCACGACGACGACGACAACGACGACGACGACGACGACGACGACGGATGACGAAGGCGGACGACGACGACGACGACGACGACGACGACGACGACGACGACCACGACGACGGACGACGACGGCTACGACGACGTCGATGACGGACGACGGACGACCGACGACGGACGACAGACGACGGACGACAGACGACGGACAGCGGACGACGGACGAAGACAACGACGACGACGACGACGACGACGACGACGACGACGAAGACGACGGCGGACGACGGACGACGGACGACGGACGACGACGACGACGACGAGAAAGACGACGACGACAACGGGCGACGAACGACGGACGACGGACGACGGACGACGACGACGACGACGACGACGACGACGACGACGACGACGACGGCGACGGCGACGGCGACGGCGACGGCGACGGCGACGGCGACGACGACGACGGCGGCGGCGGCGGCGGCTGCGGCGGCCGTGGTGTGGCGGTGGCGCTTCCGGCGACGGCAATTTTTGGGCCCAATTTGAAGTCGTGTGAGCCCAGTGGACGCCTCCTCCCTTTGGGACGAGGAAGAGGAGGATGATGCTGGAAGAGCCGACAAAAACTCGAACTTCGATCCTGAAACCCTTAAGCAAGCTAAGAGCAATGAAATTGATCGAGCGATCTGTCCCGCGGCTCCAGTATGTGGAACACATGCAAGTAAAGAGAAAGGAGGGAGGGACAGGGAAGGAGAAGGAATGAGAAACAAAGGAGGATGAAGGGCAGGAGGAGGATCTCGCGAGGGGAGATTGGGCCAACTACCCTGATATCTCCGACGTTTCGTAGGATGTGTCCGATGGCACTATCCTTCTAGGGATGACGGGCAAGATGCTTCAGGCGTACCTTTAGCCCAGACGTCAGCGGAGAGCAGGAGAAGGAAGGAGAGATGGGTGCACAAACACATTCTCGTGGTTCCTCCGCTGGCGATGTGGCACCACAGTCGTGATCAACAATATGAACGGGCAGCGAACACGTCAATTGCCAGCCTGCGTTGAGGACAGCGCTTGGAATTGAGAGCGCACCAGGAGAAAAACCTCCAAAAACGAACTGGGCGCATGCAAGGTAAGGCAGGAAAAGAGCGGCTAGATCTGCCGTGGCTCGAGGCCGATAGCATGTCTCGCTGCATGAAGAAAACAAGGGAGGAAGAGGAGGAGGAAGAACCGTTCAGATCTCGTTTCCTCATCACTCGCGAATGTCACTGTGACCGGCCCCGCCCTCCCCCCCTCCCTCTGCCCCCTCCCTGGTCACGTCAAGAAGCGCGACGGCGCCGCCTAGGAATTGGCCTTTTCCGAAGCATTCCCAGACGGCGCCCGCGCGAATCGTGACGTGGCCGGCCCCCTCCCCCTGGTCACGCCCACTATCGCCAGCGGATAAAAAAACGGGCTCTTACCCAGGACATCCGAAGCCACAGCTGGTCCTGCACGGGGTCCCCCTCTCGTCCTGAGCCGCCTCCCGACGGCCCTGGGGGCCTGGAGGGGCGCCGCGGATGGCGAAGAGCCTCTGCCTGGATGCCTCGGGACGCTGGCGGGGGGACCGAATGGGGACTGATACCACTACTAGGAAGGCACCAACTATACACCAACACCGATCCTGGCCAGGATCACCCTGGGCCCAGGATCGGTGTTTACGCCCTCCTGCCTTGCGCAAGAAGGCATCTACAGCGATCCTGGGCCCAGGGTGATCCTGGGCCAGGATCGGTGCTGGTGTATAGTTGGTACCCTCCGAACTACTCCCCAGACCTCTCCCGGGGTGCGCTCTGACCAGAGCTTCGCGGCGGAGAGTCCCCAGCCGTGGCCGTGGCAACGAGGCCCTCCCACGGGCCCAAAAGAAGCGAAAAATAGGCGACGGTGGCGGTGTGGCTCAGAGCGAGGTCCGAACAGTCTTACACCAGGCCTGGGTGCGTGGGTGCAGTAGGATTCCGCGGCCCGGATTCTGCTTGTTTCCTGTGGTTTGTTGGTGCTGCTTCTTGCCGTCGCCCCCCCCCGCGGCCACCCCGCGACACGCCCGCCACCCACCCCACGACCAACCCCGCGACCCACCCGCAACCCACCCTCCGCCCGAAACCAACACGCTAACCGACAAGCCCGGGGGGGGGGGGGGCGAGTGTCCTGGTCGTGGGTTTGGTATACAAGCCTCCCTCCCCAGGGCGTGGCGTCTGTTCACGAATCGTGTCCCGAGGCGGCGGAATCTGCCTGGGGCGGGGAGGGCATGGCATACCCACAAAATCCCGAGGCCGCTCCGCGCCCGCCCCCCCCTCACTCCTGTGTGCGCCACTGCGAGGGGGCGAGGAGGACGAGGGGCAGCAGGGCAGGAGGACAAGGACGAGGAGGAGCAGGGGGAGCAGAGCAGGAAGGCGACGACGACGACGACGACGACGACGACGACGACGAGGAGGAGGAGGACGAGGAGGAGGAGGAGGAGGAGGAGGAGGATTGAGGAGGAGGAGAGGAGGACCCCCCCCCCCCGAAGCCCAGCACAGGTGCTTGACTGCGTGCCTCCTCCGCCCCCGAGACCCGCAGGCCTGGGCCGCCCGAGGCCCCCCCGCGGGGCCGGCCGGGGGGGGGGGGGGGAGCGGGGCGGCGGCGCCCGTCGAGGCCGGGCCCGCCCGGCGCCGCGCCGCGCGCCTGCAGCACCCACGGCTCCGGAGGCGGGGCCTTCGGCGTCGTGGCGGGCGTGGCGGCGTCCGCCTCCCAGGGCGGAGGGAGCGGGCGGCGGCGGCCCTCGGCGGCCGCCCTTCGGCGGCCGCCCTTCGGCGGCCGCCCTTCCGCGGCGGCCCGCGGCGGCGGCCCGCGGCGGCGGCCCGCGGAGGCGGCCCAGGGCGGCCGACGGCGGCACACGGCCCACGGCCAGGAGTGGCGATGGCCCGGGGCGTCCCCGGACGTCCCGGCCCAGGGCCTCCCCGGGGGTCCTGGCCTGCTGTCTCGCGATGGGCCACGGCCACGGCGGCGGCCCGACGGCGTCCCCTGAGATCCTGGCGCCGCCGGGTTTGCCACACCAGGCGATGCGTCGCCCTGTTTCGGGCCCCAGGGCCCTCAGGAGAAGTGCCACAGAAAGATGGTCCAGAGCTTGAGGCGGGAAAGTGAGGCACACAGCGTGGAGGGGGAGCGTTTTGGAACGGTTTGGCCATGCCCGAGGGGCCGTGTTACACCGAACAACACGTGCACGCACTTGGGCGGGCACCGAAGTTCCTGCCCAATCGTGCACGCATGCCGGTAAAAGTCTCACAGCGTACACCAGACGGGCCCCCATCCCAGAGAAGTCCTCGCCAGCGGCAAGTGCACCATGGGCCCCGTCGGGCACGAAAATCGGCACGCGACTGACGGCGTTACAGGTTCGCATCCCTCTCGCAGGAAGGACGCACGGCGTGGAGGGGGAGGGAAGGGGGAAGGGAGGAGGTCGAAACGCGGATAGTGACGAGAGAAGCGTGCTCCTAAGCGATGACGAACTGCAACCTCAAGGCAAGCAGTTACGGACAACACGCGTGCGGGAGGACAGGAGGACGGAGACAGAGGGGCAGTGAAACTACAACTGAGTAGGAGGAGGAGGAGGAGGAGGAGGAGGAGGAGAGGTTTTGATCTGCCCCCTGCCCAAGGTGGGGCCCTTGCTATCAGCATGAGCCAGCAAGCAAAATTATAGGGGCGAGGAGGGATACAGCCTGAGGGGCTTGCGCTGCTCATGCGACACGCGTGCGAGTGTCGATGCTTTGCCTCCAGTGTGCACGCATGCTGATCAGACTTCTGTCGCGTGGCCCCGAGGAACTCCGAGAAACCCGCGCGGAGCTCCGAAAATCTACGTGTGCGCAGTTGCGTCTCCTCCGCCCTCGAGAGCAGGAGCACGAGGAGCAAGGAGGTACAGGGGGGGCCGCCACGCTCCAGCGCCGCTGACTGGGCTTTGATCCGTGCCGCGAGGACGGCGCTGCGGCGCAGCTTGGTGCGAGTGGGGGCTGCGGCGACGAGGACATCGACCAGGGCCTCGGCCTCTCTGCCAGGCCGCCCTCGCTGTGCCCAGGGAGGGTGGCCCCCCCGCCGGGAACCCGAACCACGGGGGCTCGGTGGCGGGCCTCACGCGGAACGCTGCTCTCTCTCTCTCTCTCTCTCTCTCTCTCTCTCTCCAACAGCACGGAAGATGCCTGGCGAACGAGCCGACGCCGCCGCCGTCCGGGACGGTGGCAGGCCTCACGCGGAACGTTCTTCTCTCTCCGAGAGCACGGAAGAGATGCCTGGCGAAAGAGCCGACGCCGCCGCCGTCCGGGCCGGTGCCGCCTCCAGAGGGGCGCCCTCGGCAAAGCTCGGCTCCTGCCGCGCGCGCGCCCTCTGCCTCCTCCCTCCGTGCTGAGTCTTCTTCTTCCTCCTCCTCCTCCTCCTCCTCCTCCACATCCTCCTTATCCTGCATCCTCCTCCATCTTCCTCTTCCTCCTCCTCCTCCTCCTCCTCCTCCTCCTCCTCACCTCCTCCTCCTCCTCCTCCTGCTCCATCCTCCTCCTCCTCCTCCTCCTCCTCCTCCTCCTCCTCCTCCTCCTCCAATCCTCCTTCTTGTCACGCCACTTCGTCTTGTGAGCACATTTCCAAGAGCAATGAGCTTTGCCAGCAGGCCCTTGACGGCATTGATGAGCACCCTATATTTTGGTGCCGCGGTCTCATTCCCAAGGTTTGGCTTCGTCTTCCCGGGGCTCCGGAGGATCGGGCGTTGGAGTTTTTCCGATGCCCTGACGGCCCTCTACCCGGAGGAGTTTACGGCGGCGATGGCGCTGGAGGGCGCTTTGCCACCGATCCCATCTTGCGTCGTGTGACCTTTGGCTTCGCGCGCCTTTGCGTTGTTCCAGATCTTGATTGGGATTGCGGGGCGCATGGAGTGCTGGACAGTCAACGTCAGACGGTGCCGCGCGCTGAGTTGGTTGCCATAGTGGAGGTGGTGCGTCGCGTGGCAGTTGATCAGCACTTGACGTTGGTCACTGACCACATCAATCACCAGAGAGCTTTTCATAAGGGACGTCATCACACCCTTCGGTTGCAGAATGCTGACTTGTGGTGGGAGCTCTGGCAAATGCTCGATTTGCGGTCTGGGTTGCTCGATTTAGTTTACTCGCCTAGCCATTGTGCCGATGATGAAGCGAAGTTTGCTCGTCTTGCGAGTTCTCTGAACCCGCAACATCTTTTCATTAATGCGATTGCGGATGCTCTGGCCACGGCGCGGTCGGCGAGCGCCCAGATCCCGGCCGACGTGATTCGGGAAGTCGTTGACTTTGAAAATCTGGCTTGCCGCATCTTGCGACGCAATGCTTCCATAATTTTGGAACGTGCCAGGGGGCCCAAGAATCCAGCACGCATTGTTCATCGCGTCCAGCTCCCGCGTGTGGTCCGCCGGCGCAGGGTTGTGGTCGCGCTTCTTGAAGCTTCCAGCCACAATTTCGAGCCTGTGGCCAAGGACATATGGAGGTGCACAGCGTGCAACAAATTGTTGCAACCTGCCTCTCGCTTGTTTTTCCGAACGGTTCGTTCGCAGTGTGCAGCCCTTGTGCAAACTGCGCCTCCCACTCCTGAGTGTCCAAGGCGGGCTAGAGGGCGGCGAGCGGGGGGCTCGCAGGTCGGCAAAGCACCAATCGATGATGACCTTTGGTGTAGGCTTGGAATGACCGACCCCCCTCGACGTTTGCCTGCCCCTGCCTACGTCCACGGGCACAGGGTGCATGATAGCCACGCTGCCTGGAGTAAAGGCCGTTTCACCTTCTGTGGATTGTGCAGATGTTGGGCTGAATCTAAGCCCCGAGATTTGCTCAGGGAGTGCCCAGTAGCATCGAATGGCACGGCGGCCCTCACAGCTTATAACTGTGAGGCGCTGGGGAGGCTGAGGCAGGGAAAGCCCCCTAAGAAGAAGTGCCTCGACTGGGGGAGCACTGTCGATACTTTCATCGACCTCTAATTCACGAATTTCACCTGCCTGGCAATCTCTCCGGAAGCTTGACTGGCAGCGGTCCACAGCAAAAAAAATCCTGCATCTACCTCCTCCGTCCTGAAGCTCCTGTGGGCAGCTCCGGCGATCATGCTGATGATAGTGATGATGGTGAAAAGTATGATGATGATAACAATGATGATGACGATGACGATGATGATGATGATTCGGGATGGAGGTCCAGCAAGTGTCACAACACTGGTCCCAGGTTGTGATCATCATCACCCTCATTATACGAAATCATAATCGTCAGAAGCCTCAGCGGCAGAAAACAATATCATCATCATCATCATCATCATCATCATCATCATCATCATCACCAGCAGCAGCAGCAGCATCATCATCATGATCATGATCATCATCGTCATCATCACAATCGCCAACACCATCAACATCGCCATCCCCATCCGCATCACAACAATGGTTATCATCGCAAGCGGCATGATCATCACCCTCAGTCGATGTTATCATCGTCATCATCATCATCATCACCATCATCATCATCATGATCATCATCATCATGAGGATCATCAGCAGCAGCATCATCATGATCATCATGATCATCATCGTCATCATCATCATTATCATCATCATCATCATCATCATCATCATCATCATCAGCATCATCATCATTAGCAGCAGCATCATCATCACCATTACCATCGTCATTCGTCACCAACAGCAAGATCACAATCATCATCAACATCGTCATTGTCATCGTCACCGTCACCATCCTCATCATCTCCATCTTGACCATCATTGTCACCATTGTCATGATCCGCATCATCACCATCAGCATCAGAATCATCAACCTCATCATCGTCATGACCATCATCATCAGCAGCATCAGCATCAGCATCATCATCATAGTCATCATAGTCATCATAGTCATCATCATCGCCATCGTCATCATCATCCTCATCCTCATCCTCATCCTCATCACCATCAGCATCGTCATCATCGTCATCCTCAGCCTCATCATCAGCATCCTCCTGATCATCCTCATCATCCTCATCAGCAGCATCACCAGCATCACCAGCATCATCATCAGCAGCATCATCAACATCAGCAGCATCATCATAATCATGACCAACATCCACATCCACATCCACATCCACATCCGGCTTCTTTGTCGTATCTCCCTTGCCCTCCCTCCGTCTTATCACCCTCCTCCTCCTTATCCTGAATCCCCCTCCTCCTCCTCAAGGACCCTTCTCCCGCCATGCTGATCCTCCTCCCCCGTCTCCTTCTCCTGCATCCTGCTTTTCCTCCTTCTCCTCCTCGATCTTGCTCCTGCTTATCCTGCATCCTCCTCGTCCATCCTGAAGATCCTGCGGGCGGCCCCGACGATGATGGTCATGAGTCTGGATGGAGGTCCAACACGTGTCACAGCACTGGTCCCCAATGAAGATCATCATCATCATCATCATCATCATCATCATCATCACCACCATCATCATCATCATCATCATCATCATCATAATCATAATCACCATGAGTAAGAATCATAATCATCATAATCAGCATCAGCATCACAATCATCATCAGCAGCATCACCATCACAGTCGCCAGTATCATCACCATCACCAGCATCATCCGCATCACCACAATGGTCATCATCGCAAACAGCAGCATCACCACCTTCACCATCACCATCATCAGCATCATCATCAGCATCAGCATCAGTATCATCCTCAGCATCAGTATCAGTCTCATCATCATCGTCGTCAACAACATCATCATCAACAGAATCGTCGTCATCGTCATCATCGTCATAATCACCATCATCATCGCCACCATCATCATCAGCATCAGAATCATCATCGGCATCATCACCAACATCATCCTCATAATCATAATCAGTATCATAATCAGAATCAGAATCATAATCAGCACAATTGTCATCATCATTGTCCCAGTCACCATCCTCATCCTCATCCTCATCATCATCAGCATCACCATCATCCTATCCTCATCCTCATCCTCATCCTCATCCTCCTTATCATGCTCCTCGTCATCATCATCAGCAGCATCATAATCATCAGCATCATCATAATCATCATCATCATCATCATCATCATCATCAGCATCATCATCAGCATCATCATCATCGTCCTCATCATCGTCCTCATCATCTCATCATCGTTATCTTCAAATCGTCATCGTTATCTTCAAACCATCATCGTCGTCCTCGTCCTCGTCGTCGGCCTCGTCGTCGTCGTCGTCGGTCGGCCTGCCGGCCGGGGCCCGCGCAGTCCTTCGCGAGGGGCGGCTCCGCCGGCCTGCTCTTGGCTGCGAAGCCCTTGGGCTGCACCCCGCCGTCCGCCGCGGCGGCCTGCCGCGTGGGGGGGGGCCCCCGCGCCGCGACGTGGCCGACGAGTGGGGGGCCGCGTGCATATTTTCCTGGGAGTCGACGATTCATTGTGCCTGTGTGCTTTTTTCCCTCCTGGATCTTGGGGGCGGCCAAGGGGGTCCGAGCTGGACGGGCCCCGAGAAGACCTGTCAAGAAGGAAAGCAACTCTGGTCAACATCGGTCCCCCAAAACCCCTCCTGGGGTCAGCTGGTGCAGCCAGGGGGCCGCATGCGAGCCCTACCCCACCCTCCCCCTCAGAAAGCGTGGGGGTAGTGGTAGGGCTCGCATGCGGCCCCCGAACGAGATCGCAGGGGAGCCGAAACCCGCCAAGCCGCCGCCGCCCTTGCGCGTGCCCCGCTTCCCTCGCCGTGGCCGCCGCCGCAGCCCTTGCCCTCGCCGCCGCCGCCCCCGCCCTCGCCCGGGTCCCCCGTCTCTCGCTCAAAAAGAAGGCCCAGCTCGGGCAAGCGCAGCCTGGACCCAACGTCGCCCTCGCCCGCGCCCTCTCCATCGACAAGCCAGGATCGACGTGATCGACGAGATCGTGGGAGAGCAAAGAAAAAAATCCAGACCCCTTTGCGTCGCGGAAGAATCGCGACGGACGGTTCGTTGCTATTTTCAGCCTCTGGGGGACTTGGCTGGGTTCGGTGCATAGGCGCCTCAGCTGCCAAACCTATGGGCCGTTGGAGCGTCTGTGCACCGACGTCCTCGTAACCCGGCTGCGCGCAAGAGCGGCCCCAGGCAAGAGTGACCTCTGGCGCGCGGCTTCAGGGGGAAGCCGGGGGGGAGGGGGGAGTCAAGCCCGAGCGCGCAAGCCGTTGCCGTCGCACCGCTCCCAGCGATCGCGGGGAACCCCGCTGGGCCAGCACGAGGCCACTCCGTCGACAAAGCCACCGCCGCCGCCAACGCCCACGGCCTCGCCTTCGCCCTCCGCCCCCCCCCGCCCTTCGAGCCTGCCCCTCCAGGCCCGCCCTCGTCCTCGCCGCCGCCGCCCTCGCCCTCGCCCGGCTCCTCGCCCTCTCGCTCGAAAAGGCCTGCGCCGTGCAGGCGCAGACTGGCTCCAAGCTCGCCTTCGCCCACGCCGGTGCCTTCGGCGCCGCCTCTTCCCCGACGTCCGACGTCGCGAGACGACTACAGCCTCGTCAGAGGACACGACCGCGACCCCACACCCCGTCTCTCTGCGGCGCTTCTCGAGCCGGTTCGAGCCGCGAGGGCCCCGGGGCCCGAAACGGGGCGCGACACCGCCCGGTGCGAACAAAATGTCGACCCCTCCCGTGTTGGCACAGGGGCCCAAGCGCAGGGGCCCCAGAAGGCGACGTCGAGGAGAAACCGCAGGGATTGAAAGCATCGTATCCTCGGAGATCCGGGGGGCCGCTGCTGGCCGACGACACGAGCTCCAAGTTCGGGGCCACAGCTGGAGGCCTCCCAGACGGGGTCCGAGCAGATGGGGTCGGCGGGGTCATTGGCAACGTCGGCGCGGAGCAAATGGGGCTCCACATCGAGCCGCGTCGCCGATGCATCGGCCGGGCGGCGAGATCCTCCGACCCCATCCACTCGGACCCCATCTGGGAGGCCTATAGGGCAGCGCCGCACGGACAAATCGGTGTGGCCGTCCCAGACGGCCAAACCGAACACAACCACAACCAAAAACCTCGCAGCGAGAATCGGCGGGTTCCCCACCGAGGGGCCCTCCAGAAAGCCCACTTGGCAGTGGCTGTGTGTCTTTTTTTGTGCCACCGCCCGCCAGAGGAGGAGGAGGAGGAGGAGGAGGAGGAGGAGGAGGAGGAGGAGGAGGAGGAGGAGGAGGAGGACAGTGGCCGAACCCGTCGGGTTCCGCCCGCCGCGCGAGGCGCGCGCGCCTCCGGCGGCGCACCCGCTGCGGCGGCGCCCGCGCCTGCGGCGGCGGCGGCGGCCTCGGCGCCCCGCTTCGCAGCACTGCGGCTCCTCGGGGAGCGGCGGCGGCGGCGGCGGCGACGCATAGACGACGACGACGACGACGACGACGACGACGACGACGACGACGACCTCGACGACGATGATGACGACAACGCATAGACGACGACGAAGACGACGACGACGACGACGACGACGACGACGACGACGACCTCGACGACGATGATGACGACAACGCATAGACGACGACGAAGACGACGACGACAAAAACGACGACCACAACGGCCCCGACGCCGCCGACCCCGACGACGACGACGACGAGGACAACAACGACGACGACGACGACGCCGACCACCACGATGGCCCTTCCTCAAGCCAGCATAATTAGTCTACGCTTGTCTGTCGAGACACGGCGATGGGTATTGCAGGGAGCTGAAACAAACCTCTTGCGGTGGCACACGCGCGAGATGTGCACATACGCGCGCGTGCCGAGAGGCGGGAGCCCCTCTACCAGCAGCTAGAGTGCAGTACGCTGGTAGGCGAAGGACGCTAGAGAGAATTGAACTTCGCCACCGCTTGGCGACGTACCAGGCGTATGAGTACACCGCCGATGGGAGCTGACATGATAGGAGGGTCTGGTTCTCACCACGGGTGTGCGCATGCTTCCTACGCGTGAGCGAGCAGAGACCATTACCGCCGTGACATCTTATATGCGGAGCTGATGGGGAGCCGCAACGCTGGAGCACGAGCTTCGTCCGCTTGCGCATGGGGCCTACAGCTGCACAAAATCGGCATCCACGGCAGCACCGCGCGAGAGCTCCTCGATGCGAGAGGGGGGAAGCACCACGGGAGGGGAGGCACGGGGATTCTCCACGCCGCAGCAGATGCCAAGTTCCCAGGCCAGCTGCTGCAAATGACCTCCAGTGCCAATCATATTTCTAGCTTCACGAAGCTGGATCTTGCGATGAGCTGACAAGTCGGGCAAGCCACGACAATGCTGCGTAGAGCGCAACGGTGGCGGCATGCGGCCAGATGTGCCCGCGCGGGCCCTGGCAGCCGCGACGCACAGAGTGGCAAACCAGAGACACCGCGCAAGGGTCGCGCATCCAACCTGCAACAGCGGTGGCCACATCGCGACGGCTGAGCTCGAACTGCTGCCCGAACAACGTATCGAAAGCAGCGCGAGCATATCGTTTCCTCCCGAGGCATTTAGTGACAGGCGTCGCACCGGCAGAAAAAGCCAAAGCAACCAAAAGGCCTCAGCTTGGCGGCGCCAGCCCGCGCTGCCCGCCAGCCCGCCGCAAGAGACGGGCCCCCCGAGGGCTCGCGCCCGCGCCCTGCCGCTCCCCACGCAGCCGAGGCTCACGGGACCGAGGTAGAGAGCCGGGCGCGTCGGCGCGCGCGCAGCGCCCGGAGCTGGCGCAGAGCAGGTCCTCGAAGGTGGCGACGAGCAAGGGCGAGCGCGACGCCCACACGTCACATCGTTCCACATCGACCCCTTCTGGATCGCCAGCGGTGTCCATCGTTGAACGCCGTCGGCGGGGTCGCCGCCAGTTGACACGACGCACAGGTCCCGTGCAGGATGCATGCCAGGAGTGACCACGCGCACTCCGCTGACCGCCGCTGATTGACTCTCCTCGGTGGGTGGGTGGCACATCATGAGGGCATCCACGCACCCACTCTCAATTCGGCAAACCCCTCGCACGCTTCGTGCCACATGAGCCTTCAGAGGCTCCCCTCATCCTGATGATGGCATCCACTCAGTATATTAATGTTCCTTCTCCTCCTCCTGACTCTTCTCTCTCGTCCCAACTCAGGTTCCAGTTTGGACAGCCGCCTCCATGCCTACTACCGCCCAAAGGGTGCACTCCCGAATCGCTCGAGCACCACGGAGCAGCCATCCAGTACGATTGGATTTGCCCTGCAAGTGCGATAGCCTCCAGCTCCTCGTCGTCCTCCTCCTCCTCCTCCTCGTCGTCCTCGTCCTCCTCCTCCTCCTCCTCCTCCTCCTCCTCCTCCTCCTCCTCCTCCTCCTCCTCCTCCTCCCACTTTTTGCCGCTGCCCTTCCGGAAAACTGTGGGAGCCCGTGGACCCACACCGCTGCACGGGGCCCAAGCCGCGAGGGTGCAGCGAGCCAGTTAGGGGCGACGCGGGAAGGAGACCCAGACCTGCTAAGACGCCATTATTTTAGGCCGCTCGACCCCCTTTCCCAGGATCGATGTTTCGCCCCAGGCTGGCTTTTGATCGTCCCTGGGCACAGCAAGCGGCCCCCAGAGCCAAGAACACCGTGAAACGCAGAAGAGGCGATGACAACGGCGGCGGCGGCGGCGATGGTGCCTTCGACGCCCACCACAACAACGACGACGACGACGACGACGACGACGACGACGACGGCGACGGCGACGACGACGGCGACGGCGACGGCGACGGCGACGGCGACGGCGACGGCGACGGCGACGGCGACGACGGCGGCGGCGGCGGCGGCAGCGATGGCGACACGGCGCCCCCTGACATCCGCCGATGTGATGTTTCAATCCGCGGCCCGAGAGCTCCCGAACCCCTTCCCTGGGGCCGCCTTCCCTTCCCAGATCAATGCTTGATGTATGATGTTCCAACCTACTCTAGCCTCGACCAACAGAAAGAATTTCGAGCACCAAACAAGTACCGAAACTCGAGGGTTTTCACGTGTCGGGCCCTGGGAGACACTCGTCCGACACTGTTTCGACGCTGTCTCGGCACTCCTTCGACACTTTTCCGGGTGCTCGAAATGATGTATTGGATGCGGTCCTTGAGTACGATGGGAGCAACATGCGGGGATGGACAGACCCGCCTTTAGTAAAACGTGGTTTAGTGAAAACGACCTGAGGCCCAAACCTGGCGGGCGCAAGCCTGGAAAATGACGGCCACGGCGCCCTCTCGAGAACCGAAAACGGACAACTCACTAATCGACGTGTCACTGTTGGGGGTTCTGTCCACCCCCAAAACTCGGAGATCTTCTGACCCGGGTCAGTCCAGACCCGGGTCAGCAGGAAACCAAAAACTGCAATGCAAGAAAACAAAAAAAAACTGCAACGCAGGTCTTCGCAAACCTGGGTCAGCCAATACGAGCGGCCGCCTCGCGGCCACGAGCGCCTCGCCAACCCGGGGCAGCCAGAGGGGGCCTTCGCAGGATCCTGCAGGATCTGGCGCTCTGGCTGACCCCCGTTTGCACTGACCCCCGTCTCTTAGGCCCCGAAAAACATAATACTCGATGGCCCCGGGGCCCAACCACGCGCCAAAGCAGGGAAAAAACGGCCCGAATGAAAAAACGGATCGTCCGTGCGAGCGGCGGCGCCCGGGCGGCCGGCAGCCTCCGCACGGGCCCAGCGCGGCGAACCGAAGCGGAGGGTTGAGGAGGAGGAGGAGGAGGAGGAGGAGGAGGAGGAGAAAGATGAGGAGGAGCAGGAGCAGGAGGAGGAGGAGGAGGAGGAGGAGGAGGAGGAGAGGGAGGAGGAGGAGGAGGCCAGCGACGACCCCGCGGCTCCTGCTGGCGCGCCTGCGGCGCCTCCGCGCCCGGCTCCGGTCCCGGTCCCTGCGCCGCCCCGCGCTCGCGGAGCAGCTGCTGCTCCTGCCATGCGCGCCGAGCTTCTCGCCATCGCTCGGACGCCCGTTCCTGGGTGCGCTTTTCGATTCCGTGTGCGCACGTCTTCGTTCGAGGATCCAGTCTGCTCCTCGATAGGGCCCTCGCCGAAAAAATGCACACGTCCGAGCGGTGCCAAGATCTGCTGCCGCCGCTGCCGCCGCCGCCGCGGCTGCCGCCGCCGCGGGCCACCGCCGCCGCCGCCGCCGTAGTCCTCGGGCGATCTGAGTTTTTGAATCCCGCATTCTTCCTCGATTTCGGGTTCCCGGGCCCGGTTTCGGGCCCCGGAACCATCCAAAGTGGATCTGGGGCGAAAAACTATACCACTGGAGAAGCAGTCGGGATGTCCAGAATCCTCGCCGCCGTCGTCGTCGTTCTCGTCGCTGCCCCCGCCGCCGCCGCCGCCGCCGCTGTCAATCTCCCTCCTCCTTCCCCTTTCCCCCTCCCAACGGCGCGCCCGGGGGGGAATGAGTGAGGGCAAGCCTTCTCAGACGGCGGCCGGGCTTCTCAGAAGCCCTCGGGCCATCCGTGAAATTTCCTTGTGCCTTCGGGGAAAACCCAGGAAACGTGTCAGAAGACCCGAGGCCTCCCGAGCCTCCGGAGAAAGCCCGCCCCTTCTCTCGCCATCGCAAGGACGCCCATTCCCTGTGCATGCTTCGGCTTCCTTCGCGCATTGCTTCACAAGGTGAGCGAAAAAGCTCCTCGATGGTCCTCGCCGAGAAAAAACGTACACGTCCGAGCAATGCCAAGCTGTCGCTTCCCCCCCGGGCTCGCCGCCGATCGGCCCCCGGGAGGCCTCCGGCGCCTGTCGCGCCGGTCGGTGGCGTTGAGCTTCGTCCGCTCCCGTATCATCGCCAGCACCATGCGCTCAGCCGCCTCGGGGATCCCCTCCCTCTCTCCCCCTCCCCCTCCTCGTCCTCCTCCTCCTCCTCCTCCGTGCGGGGCCCGGCTTCGCTCGGGGAGGCCCAGGTACCACGGGGAGCCCCAGACCTCCGACGCCCATGCACAGAGTCACGGCATGCGGCTCTCCCCTGAGCCTCTCCCCTGAGCTCGACGTTGCCGACGGCTCTTCTTGGCGGTATTCCAGCCGCGGGATGCCCTCCAGCAGCTGCGCCTCGCCGAAGGCGCTCCAGAGGTGCCCGCATCGCCCCGAAGGGCCGCCAGGGAGCGCCGAGCCGTGGCCCCAAAGCCAGGACGGGCTCCGGGGGGCGGCCCCAGGGCTGGGCCACCTTAGAACCTCAGAAGCCAAGTTCAAGCCCCAGGGCAATCACGAAACGAATCGCCCAGGACGGCGTCACGGCCCCAGGGAGAGGGGCCAGAGATCTGGGGGCCCATGTCGTCGAGAAGTCGCGACGACGGAAGTCGGGAAAAAGAGGAAGGAGGAAGAGCAGGAGGAGGCTTCCTGAGGCCATCAGCAATTGTTCAGAAGCTCGGCGGATGTTTTTTCAGGTTGTCGCCCGGCGCGTTCGCGGGGAGTTCGGAGGTGGTCGTCCCAGTCAGTGTTTGCGCTCAGAGGCTCTCACTCACGAAGGAATTCAACGTGTTGAGAGTTGGGAGGTTCAAGCCGCCGCCCTGGCGTGGCCTATGATTGGGACCCAACAGTCCTTGTGCTACCAGAAGACGTGCTGAATGAAGAACGAACGGGCTGTCGGGCCACGGCGAGATTCGGCCACGAAGAGGTGCCCCCCCCCTAGATCGAAGGACCCGCCCGAAAACCCGAGCCCCTCCTGAGGCCGAACTGGCCCCCAGTTCGGCGTCTTGGTTTGGCGGCGCGCACAAGGGGGTGGAGGGAGGGGGAAGGCTTCTTAGAAGGAGGTTGCTCCTTAGAAGACGCTGGCCTCACATCTATCGATAAGGCCCGCGCCTTCTAAGAAGCAGGGGTGCTTCTCAGAAGCCCTCCCCCCTCTCCCCACCCCCCTCTGCGCGTGGCCGATTGGCTCTAGCCGCCGCCCCCTTTGACTGGTGCCCCGTGATGGGCACTCTGGGGTGAGTGCCCCCGTTTGAGGGCTTGGGCGGCCGTGCTGTGTCCCGCTCCCTTCTGGCGCCCGCGGCACGCCCACCCAGCGGCGAACGCGAGCGACGCGCGGGCAAGCTCCAGGGAGGGGGGGCGGGGGGCGCCGCGGCCGCGAGGGCCGGCGCCCAGGCCTGGCGCACTGCGGCCGCCGCTGGGCCCAGAGGGCCCTGGGCCTCGCCATGGCCCTGGCTGCCGCGAGCTCCTGGCCGCAGCCCGGGCGCCCTCGTGCCCTCCGGCAGGTGCGCTGCCGTCGCGGCCGGGAAGGCCCTCTATGGCTCCCGCTCGCCGGGGACACGCGGTCGGTCCTCCTCTGGGCTCCGTGGTGGGTGCCCTGTGGTCGGCGAGTGCCCCGCGCTCGCCGCCCAGAGGGCCCTGGGCCCCGCCTGCCTTGAAGTCGCTGCGGCATCCCGGCCTCCGCCCTGGGCGCCGTGGGGTCGGCCGCCCGCGGGTCAGCACCCTGCGCGGTCGCTGCCAGATCGCCGCCGGGTGCCCCGTGGCTGGTCCCCCGCGGCCGGTGCCGCGTGGTCGCCGCCCCGAGGCAGCTCCGGTCCCGCGTGCCCGGGCTGGTGCAGCTTCATGGTCGCCGACGTGGTCGGTGCCCGATGGCCGTGTGGCTTTCTGGTGGGTGCGTTATGGCGCATTCCCTGTGGCGCTCCTCGGTCGGTGCTCTCCGGCTGGGGCGCCCGATCGTGCCTTGTGGGTCGCGACGGCAATCAGGCATTCACTTGGGGAGTGCAAGGAAGCGAATTACTGTTTGGTATCCACGCCGGTAGGCGTGAAGTTTCTCGGACGACGGCACTGGTACTTCGAGGATCCCGCAAGGGTGGCAGGTCAGACGTGTTACGAGGAGGAAGGGAGGGAGGGAGGGAAAAAGAGACAGGAGGATGACAATGATATAGGAAGGGTAGAAAAAAGGAAGGGAGGAAGGGAGAAAAGCGAAGGAGGAGGAGGAGGAGGAGGAGGAGGAGAAGGCAGGCAGAACTCGAAAGGGCGCGTGGGGCTCGGCGTTGTCCAGGCCAGGAAGGGAAGAGGGGAAGACGGGAGGACGGGAGGAAGAGGAGGAGAGAGATGCGAGAACTGGAGCAAGGGAGGACCGGAGCACAGGAGCGACGAAGTCGGAAGGAGGAAGAAGACGCCCCAGGACGAGCCCTGGCACCCGCCGATCTATAAGCTCTGTTCCATCCGCGGCCCCAGGGCTCCCGGCCTCTGCCCTGACGGCGGCCCTTCGTCCTGGATATCCATTTCTGATGGCCCCTGTCGGGGATGGACAGACCCCCCTTTAGCAAAACGTGGTTTAGTGAAAACGACCTGAGGCCCGAACCTGGCGGGCGCAAGCCTGGAAAATAACGGCCACGGCGCCCTCTCGAAAACCGAAGACGAACAACTCACTAATCGACGTGTCACTGCTGGGGGTTCTGTCCACCCCCGACCCTGGGCCCGAGGACGGGCCCCCGGGGCCGAGCTCGGGGAAGAATACGCCCAGGTTGCACAGCACGTGTCGTCGGAGGCCCGGCTCTCCCGACGAAGGGCCCAGACCTCTGGAGGCACACGAATCACGACATCGGAGTTCCGGGCCAGTCCAACGGATCTCCGGAGAGGGGCAGGTGGCCTCCAGGGAGCACCGCCCTCGAGGCCCAGAGAGAGCCCCACAGGGGCTCCAACCTGGCGCGCGAACAGCTGGCTTCCCTGAGATCGCATGTCGCGAAAACTTAAAACATCCGAAAAATCACGACTGGAGCCCTGGACCCCATCTTTCTGCGGCATCTCCCGAGCCAAGCGGTCCGCGAGGGCCCCAGGGCCCGAAACAGGGGGGAATCGCCCGGTGCGAAAAAAGTGTGACGCCAGGATATCAGCGGACGCCGTGGGCCAAGACCACCTCTGGCAGCACCCGAGCCGTGGACCGCGGTCGGCCTCCGCGCACTGCCCCTCTGTGGGCCACCGCCGTGGGCCGCCGCAATGTGCCGCCGCCGCCGACGTGGGTCGCTGCCGTGGGCCGCCGCCGTGGGCCGCCGCCGTGGGCCGCCGACGTGGGCCGCCGCCAGTCGCCGTCGGCACCCCAGGGCTTCTAGCCCGCCGCGCCGGCGCCTTGCGGCCCTTGGAGCTCGTGCACGTGCCCGCCTCCGCGCAGCAGAGCCGCTAGCCCGCGTTCGCGGGCGCGGGCGTGCGGGCTTTGGCCAGTCGGGTTCCCCATCATTCCCCTCCTCCTCCTCCTCCTCCTCCTCCCTCCTCCCTCCTCCTCCCCTCCCGCCTCCTCCTCCCCTCCTCCTCCTCCTCCTCCTCCTACCCTCCTCTCTCCTCCTCCCCCCTCTCCTCTCCTCCTCCTCTAGCTTCCTCCTCCTCATCCTCCTCTCCTCGGCCGCCGCTGCGCTCCGCCTCCGACGCTCCGCCCGCCTCCGCCTCTCCTCCGCCGCCGCCTCCTACTCCTCCTCCGCCACCTCTCCTCCTCCTCCCGCCTCCTCCTCATCACCACCATCACCACCACCACCACCGCAACCACCCACCACCACACACCACCACCACCATCATCACATCACCATCACCATCACCATCACCATCACCATCATCACCATCACCACATCATCATATCATCATCATAATCTCATCATATCATCATCATCATCAGCAGCAGCAGCAGCAGCAGCAGCATCATCATCATCATCATCATCATCATCTCATCATCACAGCATCATCATCAGCATCATCATCATGATCATCATCATCATCACCATCATCATCCTCATCACCATCAGCAGTATCAGCATCAGCACCAGCATCAGCATCATCATCATCATCATCATCATCATCATCATCATCATCATCATCATCATCATCATCATCATCATCAGCATCCGCATCAGCATCAGCATCATCATCATCATCATCAGCAGCAACAGCAGCATCATCAGCATCATCATCCTCACCACGCGCTCCAGGTAGAGGCCGACCACGTGCCCCAAATTTGGGACGTCCACCTTGGGGCTCCTCCTCCGTGGGTCCGTCAAGTTGACGATCGGGTCACCCTAGGGCCGATGACCCCAGACCGCCTTCGGAAAATTGCACGCAGTTTTCCCCACAGGACGGCATCTACTTTACGCGGACGATATTTGATCACCGTACCGAGCCTCGAAATTTCGAAGAGCCCCCTGGCGTCGTCGAATGCCGACTGCGCTGGCGTGCCCCTCTGCGAGCCCAACGAACGTGCGAACGCCAACCATTCGACCCAAATGGGTCGACGAGAAAACTCGACAACCGACTCTTAGGCCGCCGATGAAAACCAGGCGCGGTACGGTGCAAAGTTTTCGCCCTGCAAAAGACACCAAAAACTATGCACCGTACCAAGCGGGGCGCCATGTGCGGCGGGGGCTCTCAGGAAAATCCACCTGAAACCTCCGCCGCAGAACCGACAGGGGCCGCGAGGATTTCCAGGCTCTCCTATTCGAGGCTCCCGCGCCAGCTTGGGCTTCGAGCGCGCACTCCCCTCGTCGCAGCGGCGGCGGCGGGCGCGCACTGCGTCCGCAGCCTGAGCGGGGGGGGCGCCGCCAGGGGGACACCGTGCACAGGCCGGCAAGGAGGGCGGCCGCGGGAGAGGGAGAAGGGCGGCGCACCCGGACCACCGGCAGGGGAACAGAGAGCGCAGAGGCACAAACTTGCCATCGCTCGGACGCACATTTCCCGTGCATTTGCCGGGTTCGCGCTTGTGTTTTTTTCGTAAGATGGATGATCCAATCTGCTCCTCGATGGCTCGCGCCGAAGAAAAACTGCTCGCGTCCGAGCGATGCCCAGCAAACGGCTGGAAGTCTGCGCGGATTTTTCGGATCGGCGCCGGACCCCCCCACACACTGGCGCGCGGAGCGCGCCAGGGACGGCGCCAGAGGCGCCTCCAAGGCGCAGCGCAGATCGAAGAAATCGAGCGGATCTCAAAAAAAATGACGTTTGTGCACTTGCTCTTCGTCGATCAGACCGCTACGCAACGCACCACGCAACAGGGAAAACATAGCCCAAGGCTGAGGCTGCACGGCCTGCGCAGGGCAATGCGCGACCCCTGTCTCCCTCGTCGCCCCCGAAGTGCGCCCTTCCGCCCAAAATCGTTTCTCTTTAGCTGCGTCTGCTTCGCCCCCTTTTCCGCCCCCGCCCCGCTTCTGCCGCGCACACGGCTCGCGCGCAGAGCGCGGCCAGCCGGCCGGCGACAACACGAGCGCACACGAAATGATGGTGCACGATGGCGGCCGAGTCGGCCATCATGCGAGGCCCGACCCTTCAACTCGGGGGCGCGCAAACATGGATTAGCGGTCCATGGATCTGGCGCGCGGTCGCCAAATCCATGGATCGTGGGAAGCGCCCCCCCCGAAATGCGGCCGATGCCGCCTCGCTCGGCGGCGGAAGTCCGCGATTTCCCATGGTAACGGGACCCGTCGCTAATCCACGCCCCCTCCACTCATGTTTGCGATCGCCTGGTCAAGGCCCCCCCTCCTCCGCCCCGCCTGGGCGCGCCGCCGAGCGCGCGCCCCCAGCGCCCTCCCGGCGCTCTGCCGCCGCAGGCTGGGAGCGCAGCAGCCGCACCTGCCCACGCTGCAGTCGGGGAGACGCAAGACTCGGGTGCGTGGGGCTCGGGTTGGCCGGACGCGGCCATCATGAAAATGACGAGAAGCAAAAGCAGAAGCAGAAGCAGAAAATCCTGGCATATAATGGCCCGCGAGGGGCAGGACAAATAATATACAACATGCTACGCGCGCGCCGCCCAACGTGCAAACTCAGAAGCGCGGCTCTCCCAGTCTACTTTGTCCGTGGCTAGCCGCAGCCAGTCTCCCATATCCACGTCTCTACAGAACCGCCTGAGCACGTCTTCGAATTTCATCCATCTGCGCCGGAGAGGCCGGGGTGGACGCCCTGAGCCGAGGTCGGCCACCTCAGCTGTCCATTGAGAGCCGCGCCACGTGGTGACAGCATACACCCATGATGCATGGTGGGAATTCGACAGCTTACGGGCCCACCGCCATTTTCGCCAGAAGCGCTCGTCCTCCCAGTCCCTGACAGCGGAGTCGTGCGCCATGTCTTTCGCTTTGGAAGTTGCCCTTTTATCCACTTTACCCAGCCTCCGGCAATGCGCTGAAGCATGCTGTGTTGAGCTGTTTTCAATCGCCGGAACTCCTTGGCCCGAGGGGTCCACGATTCCGTCGCCAACAGCACGCAGTCTGCGACTATGGTGTCGAACAGACGCAGTCGTTTCTTCATTAAGTACGCCCTGTTCAGCAGCAAACGCTTCAGCGACCAGAACTTTTTCCAACCGAACGCCATGCGATTCGATCGTTTCCAAAATGTTGCTGACCTCCGCAAGGGCCCCGTCCAAAACGAGATTGAAAAGCACCAGGGACAGGGTGTCGCCTTGCCTCACTCCCCGGTCGATGCCGAACGTACGGTTATCAGCCCCATCCCATAGTGAAACATTCCCTTTGACTCCGTGGTACATGCGCCGCAGTACAACGACAGTTGCTGCATTGATGTTGTTTACCAAAGCGTCGAAGAGAGCTGAATGATGCACTCTGTCAAAAGCTTTTTCCACGTCCAACGTGGCCACCTACAGCTCCTCTCCCCACTCCAGCGACTTCTCGATGACGGTACGCACGATACGCACAGCATCCGCACACCCCCGGCCTGGTCGAAAGCCAAATTGCTCTTGTGAGAGTTTCGAATCTACGTCCGCAGCCACCCTGTTGTACAAAACTGTGCTAAAGAGTTTGCCAATGAGAATGACTAGACCCACAGCCTGCAATTTGGCGCGACCTCCCGCTGCAGACATCCTGCGAGAACTGGACCGTCAAAACCCAGGACGCGCTCGTCAAGAGGCGTCGGCTCACCCGAGTTCCGGCTTACCCGAGTCTTGTCTTGCGCCTCCCCGATGCAGGGGGACGACAGGGGGGGACCGGCTCACGGGGGGAGAAGCCTCGATCTGGGGTCGGCGACGCGTCGCCGACGGATCGGCGAGGGGCCCCGGATGGCGAACCCCCACCTCCCTGCACGGGCTGGGCCATCAGCCCCCCCGTCGGGGGTGAATGGGCGCCTTGGGGGTCGATGCACCCCCCCGTGAGCCTATCCCCCCCCCTGACTTTGCCCTCTGGCGTTCGGGCCTCTGGCGGCCGCTGGGGGCGATCGGGGCACCCCCAGAGCGCTCTCGACGGGGCGCAGCCACTGGAGGGCGCCCGAGGCTGGAAAGCCGCCGAGAACCGCCGAGAGGGGGGGGGGGGCCGATGCCTCCCCCCTGGGCATCTCCCCCCCCGAACGTTGTTGCCCCTGGCAGGCTGGTTTCCCCGGAGGGCTCGGCAGTCCGCGGGAGCCACAGGCGGCGGCAGTGCGCGAGCGACCCTCCACTCCCCACGACCACTCCCCTGGGGTAGCCCGCTGGGTTGGAGGTCCTCAACATGGTCCCGAGCTGGTTACATCGATCGGAAGGCCGCACCGACATCGCCCACGCATCGGCGACGCCGACACGGACAAAGCTGGGCGTGGCATCGCCGATGCACCGGCAAGCCCCATCCAGGAGACTTGGACTTGGTATGAAGGAAGCAGGTCCCGAGGGAAACGGGCCCTGGGCCCTGGGGCCCTTCCCCAGGGCCAACTCTTCATCCCGAATCGTTTTTCCCTGAGATCCGGCGTCGGCCAAAAATTGAAACATCGCAAGGAATCACGAACGGAGCCCTAGACCTCATCATTCTGCTTCTTAAACTGGATCAATCTGCGATGATCCAGGGCCCAAAAGCCAGGCGACAACGCCCGGCTTGAAAAAAGGAGACATCAAGATCTCAGGGTTTGGCAGCCCAGTGCGGGCTCCCGTGGAATGCCACGAGAGCCTAAAAGCGGCGAAAGACCGCAGGACCCGCTTCCCTCCTCCTCCTCCTCCTCCTCCTCCTCCTCCTCCTCCTCCTCCTCTTCCTCCTCCTCCTTATCCTCCTAAATTCCTTCACCATTCCTGCACCATTCCTCCACCATTCGTCCTCCATTCCTCCTCTATCCCTCCTCCATTCCTCCTCCATTCCTCCTCCATTCCTCTTCCATTCCTCTTCCGTTTCCTCCTCCTCCTCCTCTCCCTCCTCCTCCTCCTCCTCCTCCTCATCTCCTCCTCCTCCTCCTCCTCCTCCTCCTCCTCCTCCTCCTCCTCCTCCTCCTCCCTCCTGAGGACCCGCCTCCCGCAGGACACGTTTACCCTGCGGGCGGGCCCGGAGGATCGGATGTGGCCCGCCGGGGGCGCACACGCCGCCGGCAGGCCGCCCTGATGAGGAGGCGCTCCTCGCCACGCCGTCTGTCGCCATGAACATGAACGTGCCGGTCTCCTGAGAGGGGGCGTCAGGGGGGCCGGCTCAGGAGAGGAGGAGGAGAAGGAGGAGGAGAGAGGAGGAAGGAGGAAGGAGGGAGGAGGAGGAGGAGGGAGGAGGAGGGAGGAGGCAGGAGGGAGGAAGGGAGGAGGAGGAGAGGAGGAGAGAGGAGGAGGAGGAGGTCGAGGAGGAGGAGGAGGAGGAGGAGGAGGAGGAGAGGAGGAGGAGGAGGAGGAGGAGGAGGAGGAGGGGAGGAGGAGGAGGAGGAGGATGGGAGGAGGAGGAGGAGGAGGAGGAGGAGGAGGAGGAGGAGGAGGAGGAGGAGGAGAGGAGGAGGGAGGAGGAGGAGGAGGAGGAGGAGGAAGAGGAGGAGGATGTTCAACAAGGCCTTTACTCTTTACTGGCGAGAAGTCTTGCTTCGCCAACAGAAAACACCTGACCCGAGCGATGGCAAACGTGAGAGAGCCACCACCCAAGGGCCAGGGACTAATCGAAGTCCGAGGTCTCCGCGCGGCTTACGCGAGCAGCTTGCACCAAAGGAGCCTCGTCGTCCTCTTGGCGCAATGCGTCTCGCACTACGCTGAGCTGCTCACTGGGATTCATCAACTCCTCGTTGGGAGACTCTTCGATGCATCGCCAATGGATCCGCGATAGGCCCCCGATAGCGAACCCCCACGGCCCTGGGCGGAGTGGGCCACGGGGCCCCTATCGGCGACGAGTGGGCGGTTCGAGGTCGATGCGTCCCCCCACGAGCCTATCCCCCCCGAGCGTTGCCCATGATCTCCTCCCGCCAAGAATCCCTGGCTTTAGAAGTTGGGCGTTCAAGCAAGGGCCTCGCCTTCGAGGGTCGAAGAAGTTGCCCTCTTTTCCGCCGCGGAGAGCGGCGAAGGCTGGCGGAAGCCGGCGGAAACAAAACGAGGCCGCCTCCGCCAGCAGAAGCCGGCGGAAAGCGGGCGAAGGCGACGGAA